TTCCGATTAATTCACTGAGATTTAGAAGGGTAGAACTTAATCAATTATTCAATGAATTAGTAGAATTAAGAGTCTCATTGAATTGTCCCTTTTCTCGACTTGTTTTATCTGTCTAACACAAACATTAATTGCGAAAGAATTTTTATAAAGATATGTGTGGGTGTGTGCATGGTTATGGCAAAGCCTCGAGGGCTATCTGCCTAAGAGGAGGGATGCCTTCGTGGAGGACTTTCTTAGGGAAACTGGCTCGTATACACGTCACACATGGGGAAAACCACGAAAACGCCCATGCCAGCCCGTTTGCGGGATTCGAACCTCAGACCGAACTACGAGTGTTCAGCGAATTTACCCCTCGGCCGCTGGTGGACCCTAAAGAATTTTTTAAAAAAAATTATAAAAACATGTCTTAAAAAAAAGATAGTGCATAAAAATTGAAAATACTGTAAACATAGGAAAAAGTCATACAATGTAAAAAGGTACAAAAGTGTCGTGACAACTAAAAAAGGAGTGTCTCGATATTTACGTAAGAAAGAACCTTTTAGAAAAGGTGTAAATTTTAAATGAACAAGAGTTACTAGTACAGATGAAACTGCAAATTGCTAAAATTCAAATATATCTGAAATAAAAGTAACAGACTAAGTCAAAAAATTATCGAAAACGAGTGCAGCTTTGCAAGAACGTTTTGCGAATACCGACTGCGAAGGTTTGTTATGTTTTTACAAAGAAGCAAGGTTGCCAGAAGTAATGCGTTCATTCATAATAATTTAAATATTTAATGTGGTATTAATTAAAGAATGCTTTTCCTCCTTGAGGAATTTGTTTGCCCGATTTTCTTGAAATCGACAGAGTTTGCCATAAAATTAACCAGCGAATGCTTGCATAATTTTATCTTTCATTTTTCTCATAAATTCTTAATAGTAGACATGCAAGATACATTATATGATCATATGTAAGTAAACATTAATTCATCACGAGTATAATTTAGTTAATTCCTATAATTTTCATGCAGGTTTCCCAAGTTGCGCTCGAACAGAGAACGTTTAATCATTTTTACCAAAAATAATGAAATTCAGAAAAAATGTAAGTTATTAGGTTTAAAATTGTCTGTCGCATTTGATCTCATGTAAGGTTTACTTAGAATAAAAAATCTGCTGTGTACACCACATGACTTCCTTCTACGGAATATTAAATTATACGCATTTTTTCTTGCATTTTATTTAAACTTATTAGATTGAATTAAACCTACTTCGCCGACAGCGCATAAACCACAATAGAATAAATGCATTCTTTAAAATTCACTTTGTTTACCATAGCGACACTCTGGCGCTAGGTTTACTTAACAGTATTATATTTCGTTCATATTATAACTCTGAATGCACAATATTTATATCATTTTAAGAATTATCTAATCGTTGCAACATGTTTATTCAAATACTATAATAAAGCTAGAACTATGTATAAAAGAAATTAAGCAAACAAAACAAAAAAGAAACAGTTCTTCACAAACGATTGAGTATTTCTCATTTAATTAATTCAGTTCTCACTTTGCGAGAAGGCAAAAATACATAATAACTGAAAATATTAAAAATTACGAAGTAAATCTCAAACGCTTATTTCCTCGAAAACATTCCAGAAAGAATTAAGCATGATTCAATTGGCGATAATAAATAAATGCGTTATCTTTGTTGTTGCGAAGCTAAGTTTCTCTAGATTGGCGACAAATCCACTAGTCTTCTGTTTCAAATGTAAACATCAATGGCCGCCATTAAAAACAGGCTTAGCGGCTATTAAACAACTTTAAAATTGCTGATAATTCTAAAAATATTGCACCAGATTTACTAAAGGCATAAAATCCTTAATCGGAAGACAAAAACAATATAATTCAGTCATTTTTAAAGAAAAAATGCACAATTTACAAACATATAAGAGTAAAGAAACTGAGATCACTGAGCCTTGTAATAGAGTGGATATATATATAAATATATTTATATACGTTTGGTGCGGCCGAAAGCAACCAAAATACCAGGTGCACATCTACATGTTATAGCAGTCCTATATACAAAATTTCACCGTTCTGAGGCTACTCGTTTTTGAGTTATGCGAGATACGTACGTACGTACATACGTTCGTACAGACGCCACGAAAAATTCTCTTCAGAATTAATTTTAAAGCAGTTTTATGATTTTTCTGAAGGAAAAGAGTATTTTATTCTGTCCTTACGTACAGATATCACGCAAAAACATTGTTAAATTGCATTCGATAGCGGTCACAATGGATATTTTCGTTGAAATATGCTGCCTGAAACTTTTCGCGATTACAATACTTCCCTTTTTACTTCGTACAAGGAAGTAAAAAGGACTGCTTTGGCCTAGAACGAATAAGTCTTTCAACTCATAATAGGAATTTGAGGTTAGAAACACTATTGCAAACACGCCACCCTGCACAACTCCACCCTCGGAGGAAGTCCTCCCAAAATTGTCGTCACGCATCTGGCTAATGGGTAATTTGATTGGAACCCAACTGATGCACACCCTCTATTTATCTCACCTCTTGGCGGATACGAGGAGATGTTGAGGGCAGATGAGCATCTTCCGCAACCCCCGGAGACCCGTGGGGTCGGAGGAAATCTCCTCTGCCACCCCGCTCCTTCGCGAAACAATGGATCTATTCTTCCTCCCCGATCGGACCACGGGTTCATCAAGGACGATGCTCTGGAGCAATCTTAATTCCAACCGAGGCAATCAGTGCTGAGAAAAGGGGATGTTGTGATGAGGATCTTTATTTTAACTTCATGGGTAACATTTATCCTACCTCTTTGATGTCAGGGCTTTGAGGCCAGTGTTGGTTATTTTCATGGTGGCGACTTTTAGCCACACTACTAATTGAATCGGCTTTGTGCGGGGATTATGTCGATGTGTGAATAGACTGCGGTCAATATAGAAAGGTAATCACAGATGTTAGAATAGAAATACCATTCTGAGTAAGTTCTGTATACAAAATTTTTTTTCGTGTTAAACTTCTTCCTCGATGTGTTGAAATTAATAGACTAATACATTCTGTAAAAAATTTCTGACAATGAAATGCTTATTCCTTTTACTTTATGTTAAGTGGGTATCTTATAAAAAAGATCGAGTTCTTTAGGAATTAATTAGAATACGGTATTTGCAACGGTATTGGTAAGCAAATCTGGTCGATATGAATTTCTTCTTTGTTAATTGAGAAATTTATCTAAATTCAGTTTTAATAAAAATTACCGAATTGATATATTCAATATTTGTAGACCCTATGGGCAGTAATATTTTGCAGCTGCATAAAAATCACTTGATAATTATCAGAGATCTTTTGCGATCGCTTTCTTTCCTAGATGAATGATTTAATAATTCCACAGCGTTTTATCATACGGAAAATTTTGTTTCATCATAAGGCATCTTATTTCAACTTTCAGCTCCTTGAGCGTCGTTCAATTTACCCTTTCTCTTATTTTCTCTTAAAACAATTTTAGCATGTCAAATTAAAATATGAAATCTTATATGAAAGTCCCCCCAATTTTATTCTAGTTCCTTCAAAACTTTAGGATCATTCTTCGAACTAATGCGAAAGTTGAAATTTCAAAGCATTAAGAGATAATATTGTTGCTGCTATGGTTTTATAAATGTTTCTTTAAAGAAGAAGACCACATGAAAAGGAACATTTGACAATTAACTCGGCTTGAGATTATTATTAAATCGGTATTTTCTCCCTTCTTCCGTCATGCCTTCGGGATGTAAAGGTAGCACACTCGGCGCGTATTCGAGAGTTCCTGGTTCGAGTTCCAGGGAGGACATTGCTAATTTTCACGTCTCCTGGTTTAAAAAAAAAAAAAAAAAAAAAAAAAAAAATCTGAAATGTTTCAGATTTTAAATTACGTCCAAAGGGGCGTTTTTTTAACGTTTTGAGTGTTACCTTTATTTATTAAATATCATGTTCTTTGCACTTAAACCATAAAATTCAGTTCAAGAGCAATATCGCAAAATAATGTTAAATTAAGCATATCTTTAGAATTTCCGATATACACAGTCTCGCGAGCTGGAGATAAAAGTATTTTTTTTTTTTTTATATATATATATAACGTTGCCATTTCTCGCTTTTAAGCATTGAGTTTGTAAATCAAAATTCGTTAAAGTTTTACAAAATATAAAATCTATAATAAAATAAATTCCAAATTTGGGATTTCAGATGCCCATATTCGCAGTAGGATTTCGTCATTCAAAATGCGATGGCTCTATGTACCATTGTTTTATCACAATGCGAGAAATAGACAATCATTTATGCAGATTTTTCATTATTTAATTTCTTCAAATATAATGCAGGACTCTAACATTTTGTGGCAACAGTTTGAAAAGTGAACCGACGTTTATGAGTCCGACGCAAAATCGCAAAACGTAAACAATAGTCCTTCAGGGACAAAGCCCCTTTGGACTAAAAGAAAAACTTAATGACTCTACAGAAGAAATAATTGCTTTTACAGGTAGTATAGTCGACTGCAAATAAGTAAGCCTAAATTTTTCTTAATACAAAATGAATATTGAAGATCACCAAAAGCATGCCTTCGTGGTGCAGTGGTCAGCACGCTCGACGAGTATTCGAGAGGTTCGAATCCCGCGAACGGGCTGGCTGCATGGGTGTTTTCGTGGTTTTCCCCATGTGTAACGTGTATACGAGCCACTTTCCCTTAAAAAGCCCTCCACGAAGGCATCGCTCCCTTAAGGCAAATATCCCTCGAGTGCTTTGCCGTAATCTAATAAACCAAACCATACCAAACCCTGGTTCGAGCCCCGGTGAAGACATTGCTCATTCTTCATGTCTCCTGCTTGAAAATACGTAATGTCTCTACACTGGCGCCCGAACTAAAAGGTGGGGAATGATGATTCTTCACCACCAGGATTTCGCGATTGGGCCCCTAATCCCCAGTCGCCCTCTAAAAAGGGGGAGTAGATATATTTCTCCCGCCTTCTTAGCATGCCTTCGTGGTGCAGTGGGCAGCACGCTCGACGCTTAATCTAGAGGTCCGTGGTTCGAGTCCCGGCGAGGGCATTGCTCATTTTCCATCTGTCTTGCTTCGAAATATCTTAATGCCTCCACAATTGCAGAAATGTTTGTAACAGTCCGAGTCTCAACTCAGCTGTTATTCTAACACAACTACACATATTAAAAGCATTCCTGGGGGGAGGGAGAGTTTAGCATTTATGAACTTTCCAGAAAATCATTTCTAGAGTTTCGAAAAGATTTCTGGAAACCGTTTGAAATTCCCGTAGTTGGATAGAAACCGTCTGATGCTGCGAAGGCCTGGTAATGTGGTTCGTGTCACCTCTGGTTCTTTTAAACTATCCTTTCAGTTCTACAAAATAATACGTGAATCAAACACAAGTTAACGTAATAAATGGTGCCAAATTAAAAAATTAAGTAAAATATGCAATAAAATTAGCATAAAATTACCATGGAAGAACCAAATAAATACGTAATTGCAGGAAATGGAATTAAACCAAAGAAAAAAATGCATAAAAACCTGACCATTACAAATAAATGAACCCAAATATTTACATAAATCATAACAGTTTGCTCATTAAACAATAAAGCAATATTACATAAATCATGCACATGTGTATAAGCATATTTTATTATTTACTTAAACGTATACATATATATTTGCTGATAGACAAGCTAATGTGATATTTTCTTCTGCTCAACCATTTTAATACCTTCAAACGGATAAATAGGAAGGAAATAAGTGTAATCATTTCATTTCTAATTAATTTGCTCCTGCCGTTAGAATACTTAAATGTATCTCAAGGAAAATTAGCTTTCCCAATCTGTTATTGGACATAAAGTGTGCTGCCAAACAGAAATAAATACATAAATAAATATGAAGATTGTTGGAGAATATTTATGGAAAGTTCATCGAATAACCTCGTTTGTATAGACATCGAGTAAAGTATGTAGAGAAAATAATTCCCGCCCAGCAACTGGAAGAAGATCAGTTTTTATGGCGATCGCTCAAGAGGCGGTTTCGTGGAACAAGATGCAAAAATAATTTATGATCACCATTCTCTTTTCCGATGTGAATTGCTTTTGTGTTATACATCTTATTTTTCGAAGAGTATTGATTCATTTCGAAATCATTCTTCGCTGCTTTATGAAAAGAGGGACCATATGCCAGTTTTAAAGGGATTTATAAAGACTTGAATGCATTTGTTTGAAGCATTGACTAGAGAACAAGGATATCTCTGCAAAACCACTCAAGTGCAATTCTTTTGCTTATACATTTTAATGCAAATATTTGTAGTTGTATAATATATCCCAAATGACCAGGTAAGGGTTAGCTTTAATCTATCCTAAAAAAAAAAAAGTTAATATTGTTTATACTTGAACGATAAAAAGGTACTGAAGCGAATACGATGAACTGAATACGATGAACGAACCAAATCATATCAGTTATCGTGATGCATTCTATCAACGTGGGCTTTTATTCATGTACCAGATGCTTAATGTCTGAACAACATCAAATATTATCACACTTGTTACTATATCCATAAAATACAACATTTAATTTCTCTTAATTTAATTTAAACATTTAATTTCTGCTCAGATTTTTGATGTTTTTGTGACTTATCGCACTTTTATGACAGCAACATCAAAACAAGCCAATGAAATTCATCGTGGAAAATGTGCGAGATTGCATCTGTCGTTGGCAACAGCCTTGAGCACTCATATAGGTAACAGTACAACACTGCTCATTACCCCCCCCAGTTTTGATGAAGCGCAAATCGAGGCGACGAGCCCGAGGGTATACCATCCCTCTTCCCGTACTACTAACCTCTCGAGAGGACTTTCGGCTCGCCATATATTTAGAGTGCCCCCATGTCGCGGCTATACATTTACAAACTTGAGCAACCACCAAACTCCAAACCACTTGAGCATCCTACAATGACAGTAGGACTTTCTTCAGTTCCGCTCTCAATTTTAATGGAGAGGACACACCGAGGGGACGCGTCATGGGCTCTCCCACCGCTCTTCCCCTACCAGAAACTTCTCGAGAGGACTTTCGAATCTTTTTCTGTAATTCGAACCCGGGTCTTTTGTACGACAGTCAGCGTCACTAACCATCTAATATTGCAGAGCGATTAAGTATGTATCAGAGCAGGAAACGTGAAAAATTATTAATGCCCTAGTCAGAATTCGAAATCCGGATCTCTGATTGCCAGACAAGTTATAAGGTATTTCTCCCCCTTCTTTAGCGTGCCTTCGTGGTGTAACGGTAGCACGCTGGGCAGGTATTCCAGAGGTCCGTGGTTCGATTCCCGGCGAGGGCGGTTGCATATTTTTCATCTTTTCTGCTTCCAATTAACCTAATGACTCTACAAGGTATGTTTTAAATTACAGCACAACGGCATTCAGGTAGAAAAGAAAAGAAAATTCCTTACATTCTCTCCTTCTTAAAGGGCAAATGGGGAAGGAGAGACGCCAAATCCAGGTAATGACGAATTATCGTGCACAACATTTAACTCGGGCGTTACTGTAGAGCTATCAAGTGTTTATCGGGGCAGGAAATATGAAAAACCAGCTAAGCTTTTATTCGAATCGAAATCGAACGCTGGACCTTCCGATTACCAGCCGGTTATGCTTCTAATTACTCATGAATCACGCAATTAAAAAAATTCTCTATAATTTTAATCTAAAATATACTGTGAATATTTATCACATGTCCTTCAGCATTTAGAACTTTACTTAGTTTTATTTGAAATTATGATATGTTAATAATTTAACTGTCATACGTGTGGAACACATTCAACATACTAGTGTCTTATATGGTGATGACATGCTAAATAACTCTAAGTTTTTTTATCTTTTTCTGAGACTTTTCGTAAAATTTCTTCATGTATGTAGAGGCATTTAATAAAACGGCCATCTTGGACAATACAGAAAATTGAACGATGTTTAAAGAAGAACCTTGCATTCAAAACGGTTTTATTTGGAGTGAATCCCTACATTCCATAAATTTTTTGTTCTCGCGATAACTAATCGCTTTATCTTTCTAGAGAGAAGCAGTCATGACTAAATTCCACACTTCTTCTCCCAAACTAATCCTTTCGTATTGTTGGTGTAGTATTTTTCTTCTAAGTTATTCACATACACCATCGGACAACATGTTTCTTTTCTTTGTTTCTGACTAGAATATTCTCGACTTATTCCATAACTTTACACTTCAGGCTAATAGTATTTCCAATTTGGTAGCTGCTATTCCAATCAGAATAAAACTTGCGTTGTTGGTCTAAAAAAGAATGATTATTCGTTGTTTTCATCAATAAATGTATAAAGACAAAAAAAAAAAAAAAAAAAAAAAAAAAGATCTGTTTGTTTAAGAGAATTTAGGTATTGATATCAATACCGTCATTGTACTTCGTTTACATTTCTTATCAGCAGGAAAGCTGTTGTTAAAATGCATTGAAGAATTTAACGTTCTCGTTCTGCTTTGTGATAAACTAATTGCCATCCGTAACGAAACAAATGTGGCGATATTAATTATCTTAAATTTATTAACACCAAGGGTGCTATTACTTTGGATTCCCACTTTTTCTGGTCCGTATCACTTTTGTGCTCGAATCACTTTTCGAATAAAAGAATGTTGTTCCCATATATTATTTTAATATGCAGCAAATTTTTAGTATAACGAATAAAAACCCGAATTATGAAAAAGTATGACAACACAAATAAAAGGATTTTATCACAATGTCATTTCCATGTGTTATTTTTAAAGAAATAACAGAACAAATATTAAAAAAAAAATGTATAGCAACATTTAACACCCTATCGGGAATTTGAAAATTATGCTACGTTAAATTATTTTGTGATTTTGCTGATGAATTATATGCATAAATATGAACAAAATGATGTTTAATAAATAAAATTAAAAAGAGAACATTTCAAGTTTTCAGGATCAGATTCAGAAATGTATGTATATATATGCACGTGTATATATGTGTGTATGTGCATAATACGCATACATACGTATATCTTATATATAATATATTCGGTGATTGGTCAAGTGGCATCTGCACTAAGGGTTACGTAAGATCGCATGATTAATTTGAATGACGCAGTTTAGACTTAAGCGCTATTTTTGGGAAAGATAGATGAAGTTCCCAAATGAAATAGAAAATAAAAAAATTAAATTTAGAAGTTTGCTTTTATATTTTTTATCTTACATATACACATACATTTCTGAATCCGGTCCCAATTACAAAAGAGTACTAAATCTTACAATTAAAAAACGTTGATCACTGTATGATTTAGATCAGGTCTTCTTAAACATTTTTAACTCGCGAACCCTTTTTATTATTGAGATTTTTTTCACGACCACAGGACCCCGTAACATTTACGAAAATTTTGTGAGACCCCATAACCATTGCTCAAATCCGACACACGCGTGAGTGAAACTGTCAATTTTTTCACTTGCACTGTAATATACTATTGCAGTTTCAGGTCATTAAATTTAATTTCTAATTTTAAGATATGGAACAATGTGAAAATTTTGACGAAATGATAGCGTCACGTGCAAAGCAAGTAAAATTAACGTTTATGTTATAAAAAGACTGCGTCGAAACGTTTTCGTTTTTCCTTTGTCTGTATTGTCTTATCTTTACCTATTTTCAAATACATTGTGTAAAAATATTTGGTAACTGTAAAATTATTATAAGAAATATCAAAATTGCTAAAATTTTTGACGACCTCCCTGCTGCAGGTGCCGCCAGCCCCATGTGTGTCGCGATCCACAGTTTAAGAAACTCATGTTTAGACAACAAAAAGATTGTGTAACTCATCTTCTGGATACTTTAGGTTATTCTGAAGCAGGAGATGTGAACAATTCTCAATGCCTTCCCCGGGATTCGAACCTGGACCTCTCGAATACGCCCCGAGTGTGCTCTCGTTACACTACGAAGGCACTGTAAAGAAGGAGAAAATGTCTAATACACTACTCCTTTTAAAAGGCGATTGGGGATTAAGGGATCCAATCGTCAAATCCTGGTGATGATGAA